CAATAGTGTTGTCTCAAATCCTGGTACATCTTCGCGGCACCCGGATGAATGGAATACCGTGAGATGTGGGCCTCCTCAAGAATCAACTCCCGAAGCCCATCCACATTAGGCACACATACCCGGCCCTGCATCCTCAACATGCCATCATCACCAATAGTCACATCTCTAGCATTACCTAGCCGAACCCTGTCCTGGAGGACGAGCAGATGGGGGTCATCATACTGACGCTCCCTGATACGATCATAAAGAGAAGACCTAGAGACCACACAAGCCAATACCGGACTAGGCTCCGAAATATCCAATCTGACAAGCTGGATAGCTAAGGCCTGAACATCCAATGCAAGGGTCTCTCTGCTACTGGAAGATACGCTAAACTCCCCAAACTTTCCGCCCGACGACTCAAGGCATCGGCCACTACATTGGCCTTCCCAGAATAGTACAGAATGGTGATATCATAGTCTTTGAGAAGCTCCAACCACCTCCGCTGATGCAAGTTAAGATCCTTCTGCTTGAACAGATGCTGCAAATTCCGGTGATCAGTGTAGATCTCACAATAAATCCCGTGCAGATAGTGCCGCCAAATCTTCAAGGTGTGAATAATAATTGCTAACTCAAGATCATGGACATGATAATTCTTCTCATAGGTCTTCAACTGGCGCGAAGCATAAGCAATCACTCTACCCTCCTGCATCAGAACACATCCAATACCTATCCGCGAGGCATCACAAAACATTGTGTAAGAACCAGAAGCTGATGGCAGAACTAGAACTGAGGCCGTGGTCAAAGCAGTCTTGAGTTTCTGAAATCTCTCCTCGCACTCATCCGACCACCTGAATGGAGCACCCTTTTGGGTCAATTTGGTCAAGGGCGAAACAAAAGATGAAAAATCCTCTACAAAACGACAGTAATAGCCCGCCAAACCAAGAAAGCTCCTAGTATCTGTGGTTGAGGACGGTCTGGGCCAACTCTGCACTGCTTCTATCTTCTTCGGATCCACCTGAATGCCCTCACTGAATACCACGTGCCCCAAGAATGCCACTGAACCAATCCAAAACTCACACTTGGAGAACTTTGCATAAAGCTTCTCCTCCCTCAATCTCTATAACACAATCCTCGGATGCTGGGCATGTTCCTCTTGGCTACGAGAGTACACCAGGATATCATCAATGAATACAATAATGAACGAGTCCAAATAAGGCTGAAACACACTGTTCATCAAATGCATGAACGTTGTTGGGGCATTGTTCAGCCCAAAAGACATCACAAGGAACTCATAGAACCTGTAGTCAATGCACATTCTCATAGAACCATCTTTCTTCTTTACAAATAGAACCAGTGCACCCCAAGGTGACACGCTAGGCCGAATAAACCCCTTATCGAGGAGTTCTTGAAGTTATTCCTTCAACTGCTTCAACTCTGCCGGTGCCATACGATACGGTGAAATAGAAATGGGCTGAGTGCCCGACACCAAAATAATACCGAAGTCAATATCCCTGTCAGGCGGCATGCCCAGCAGGTCTGCAGGAAACACATCCAGAAAATCACGCACCACCAGAACAAAATCAATGGCAGGAGTCTCTACACTAACATCCCTCACAAAAGCCAGATAGGATAGACAACCTTTCTCAACCATTCGTTGAGCCTTCAAGTATGAAATCACTCTACTGGGAACATAGTCTATAGAACCGCTCCACTCAACTCTCGGCAACCCCGGCATCGCTAACGTCACGGTCTTAGCGTGACAATCTGAAACAACATGACATTGAGACAATCAATCCATACACAATATCACATCAAAATCGACCATACTGAGCAGCAAAAGATCCACTCTGGTCTCCATACCCCCAATAGTCACCATACATGACCGATATACGCGGTCCATAATAATAGTATCACCCATAGGAGTAGATACATGAACAGATGAAAGTAAAGACTCACAGGACATATCCAGAAAATAAGCGAAATACGAGGAAACATATGAATAAGTGGAACCAGGGTCAAATAATACAGAGGCATCTCTGTGGAAAACTGAGACAATACCTGTAATCATAGCATCTGAAGAAATGACATCTGGTCTGGCAGGGAGGGCATAAAAACGAGCCTGGCCACCCCCTGATCTGCCTCCCCCTCTCAGGCGACCCCTAGCCGAATGGGCTTCACCCCGGGCTGGCTGAGCGGGTGGTGGAGGGGCTGGTGATGATGACATAGAATGGCTCCTCTGTGGAGCAGGACCTCCCACTATACGGGAACACTCCCTCCTCATGTGACCAAACTCCCCACACTCATAACAACTCCCCAGTGCTGGTGCAGGGGACTGAAGGGAGCCCCGAGCACCGGGATAACTGGCAGAAGGACCTGGCATCGACAAACCCTGACCCAATGGAGCACGGGACAAACTCTGCGCTGGGAGGGCACCGGAGATGAATGGCCCTGCTGATAACTATGAGAACAATGGCCAGATGATGCACCACGGTGACCTGAACGAGTCGTGTGAGCATGTCTGAAAGGACGACCTCTACCGTACTGGAACTGACCCCTAGAAGGAGAACCACTAAATCCTCCCTGTCTACAAGGCCTCTTGGCCTCCCTCTCAACCCTCTCCTGACTATGAACCATCTAAATCTGACTAGCAATGTCGACAACCTCATCAAAAGTAGCACCAGACACTCTCTCTCTCTGGTCATAAGCAATCGCAATTGATAAGTGAGGCCATCTATAAACCTCCTGATCCTGTCCCTGTCTGTGGGAACCAACCAGATAGCATGACGAGCCAACTCCGAGAATCGCATCTCATAATGCGTCACAGACACATCACCCTGACGAAGCTGCTCAAACTGTCTGCGCAGCTCCTTTCTGTGGAACTGAGGCACGAACTTCTCCAGAAAGATAACGAAGAACTGCTACTAGGTAAGGGGCGTTGCGCCGACCGGCCTACGCCTCTCGTAAGCCTCCCACCAACTGAATCCAGCCCCAAAGAATTGAAAGGTAGTGAACGAGACCCCACTGGTCTCCAGAATACCTGATGTACGAAGTATCCTTTGACACCTGTCCAAGAAACCCTGTGCATCCTCTCCCTCTGCACCACTGAAAGATAGAGGCTAGAGTCTCCCAAACCTCTCCAATCTACGTTGCTCAATCGGCTAGGCTGGTGGTGCCCCTAGTGTCTGGAATCTCTGTACCACCTGCTCTTGTGTGCGGGCAGTGGGAGTCTGAGCACCTCCTCTGGCCTGAGAAGTGGCTGCTGCGGTAGAAACAGAGACCGCCTGAGAAAGACTGGTACATGCGGTCAGAATTTGAGCTAAGGCCTCCTGAAGGCCTGGAATCACAATAGGCACAGGTGATGCCTGAGCTGGTGCATCAACAACTGGAATCTGATCCTGATATGAGGCAACTAGTGGATTTGCAGGTACTGTCCCAGCTGATGTGCGGGTTGCACCTCTGCCCCTACCGCGGCCTCTACCGCGACCTTGGACTCTCGCGGCCCTGGCTGGTGGTACTGGTGACTGTCCATCCTGCCTGGTAGTACGAGTACTCACCATCTGTGAGAGAATGAAACAACAGATGTTTAGTTACTCGAATCAACAGATTCACACGGCAAGAATTCAAGAATGTGGAGTTTCCTAAGGGTTCTGCAGCCTCTCGAAGATAAGTACAGACGTCTCTGTACCAATCCGCAGGACTCTACTAAACCCGCTCATGACTTATGAGACCTATGTAACCTAGGTTCTGATACCAACTTGTCACGACCCAAATACCTAACCAGTCGTGATGGTACCTATCGTGGAACTAGGCAAGCCGACATTCTAAATATGCTTTCAATATATAACAGAAGTGAGCTAAAGCAATTAAACTAACTGAAGGTTTACATAATAACGGAATAAAAACTCAAAACACAAGTGCGGAATGATAGCCCGACATCGGGGTGTCACTAAGTCATGAGCATCTAACAACCAATCTAGAAACAAAGTCTACTACATTCTGTGCCAAATGCCAATACAAGAGAGACAAGATAATAAGAAAGGAGAAACAAGAATTGTGGTCGCCGGCAGCTACCTCGTAAGTCTCTCATAATCAGCTCGCGCACGAACTCAGCGACCGCCAGAACCGTACACACCTGGATCTGCACATGAAGTGCAGGGTGTAGTATGAGTACAACCAACTCAGCAAGTAACATAATTAAACAAGGAACTGAGAAGTAGCGACGATAAAAAAATACAGATCATTTCAAAAGTTTTCAGTAAAGAGTGAACATGCTTTCAAATCCGGCGGTATAAGTCAAATCAGTTCGAACTCAAGTAAAACAGATATGAATCTTCCAGGAATTTCACGACAACAACAGATAACAACTACGTGCAATAATAAATAAATGCAAGTACAACCTCTTAAGGCAGCAATCACTCAACTCATCTCAACAGCTCATACTCTCGGCTCTCAGCCCTCAATACACACTCTCAATAGGTACATACGCTCACTGTGGGTGTGCAGACTCTGGAGGGGCTCCTTCAGCCCAAGTGCTATATTGCTGCGGCGCACAGCCAGATCCAATATTATTGCGGCATACAACCCGATCCAATATTGTTGTAGCGTGCAACCCGATCCAATAATATATATAGTCCGAAGGTTTGTTGCGGCGTGCGACCCGATCCATATACCTCACAGCTCGCACCTCGGCACTAAGGCCCTATTTCAGTCACTAACCTCTCCAGCCCCTCGAGCTCACAGAATATCATAATAATTAGCCCAAACAGAGAATACAACAAGTATCAACAAGAAATGAGAGGGAACAGAGATATAACACACAAGTAAGACTATGACTGAGTACAATATAGCAATTAGTAGTCAATTCAACAAGTATTTGACCACTGCGAGTCCCAACAGTGATATCATATGGCCTAAGCATGGTTTCTAATATGAAAGGTAGTCAATTTCTCAAAGACAAGGATAAACAAGTAATAACAATGGCTATTCAACTTTACAGTCTCACGGGACGGACCAATTCACAATTCCTCATGGTGCCCGCTCACACGCCCGTCACCTAGCATGTGCGTCACCTCCAAATATTCACATCATACCAATTCTCGGGGTTTCATACCTTCAAAACCAGATTTAAGACTGTTACTTACCTCAATTGCGCAGAAATCCTACTCCGAAATGCCTTTGCCTCTCGAATCGGCCTCCAAATGCCCCGAATCTAGCCACAAACAGTACGAGATAATCAATATTGGCTAAAAGGATCAATTCCACAAGAAAACTACTAAGATATAGTCCAAAATCCGAAATCGGCTCAACCCTTTTACCCCGGGCCCACGTGTCGAAACCCGACGAAAGTCACGAAAATCGAAAGCCCATTCACTCACGAGTCTAACCATACCAAATTTATCAAAATCCAACCTCAATTGCCCCTCCAAAACCCCAAAATTTACTTTTCAATTCCCAAGCCCTAACTTTCCAAATCTCACCTCAAACACTCACCAACTAGGTGTAAAATCAGTGGGGAAACACCATTATTGAAGATAAATAAGCACAAGGAACTAACCTCAGTGATTACTCCGAAATCTCTCTCAAAATTCCCAAATTTCGAGCTAAAAAATGATATAAATGGTGAAAAATCTCGAAATCTTCTATTTATAGGTTCTGCCCAGCAAAACTGCACCTGCGGACCTCCTGTCGCATCTGCGACGCCGCACCTGCAGAAATTCCATCACAGGTGTGGATCCCACTAAAGCGCCTAGATTCCGCATCTGCGGTCACATATTTGCACCTGCGGGCCCTGCCCGCTTCTACGATCCTTTTCACTCAGGCCTTACTCCGCATCTGCGCCTCCCCTTCTGCATCTGCGGTTTCGCAGATGCGCTCCTAACCTCACACCTGCGCTTCCAGTCCAACCCAGCCTTGCCCGCATCTGCGCTTCCAATCCGACCCCGATATCAAAATTTTCACTGACGGCCAAAATCGCCAAAATTTTAACTTTCGCCAATTCAAGCCTAATTCTGCTACGGACCTCCAAATCACATTCCGTACGCGCTCCTAAGTCCAAAATCACCTAACAGAGCATAAAGGAACCGTAAAAATTCAAATTGTTTTTCCACAAGTCGACATCCGGTCGACTTTTCAAGCTTAAGCTTCCAACTAAGAGACTAAGTGTCTCAATTCACTCCAAAACCACTCCGGATCCGAACCAACCAATCCGGTAAGACATAATACATCTGTAAAGCACAAAAGAAGCAGAAATGGAGAAAATGGGGCTACAACTCTCGAAATGACCGGCCAGGTCATTACATAACCGAACCGTACCGATACCGAAGAGAAATCGAGATAATTAAGACCGTTTTGAAAAGTCTAATTTTGGTTATACATAATGGAATAACCGGAAAATAGTATGGTACAAATTTTATAAATAACAGGACGAACCGAACCATTGACACCCCTGCTTGTATATAATTTAGATAAAGAATAAATTTTGTTAAATGGAATACTGTAATTTATCAATATATTTTTAAGAATTTTTTTTCTAGTTATTGATCCTAAATGCATTAGGTAAACTTAAAAAAGATATGATGCATAATATTTATTTAAGTATCTTTTTCCTATAATAAACATTCCCTCTATTTTAATTTTTTGAATCTTTTCGGAGTATGAATGTTAAATTGATTATTTTCGATGTAAATTTGGACATAAAATTGAAATACTCTCAAATACATATTAGAAACTACATAAAAAATACTCTCAAATAATAGTAGGTTATTTTTTTTTTTTGAAACAAAGGGAATAAAATAATAAAGCTGATAGGACCAATAGAAAGCACGAAACACGTGGAAGAGTAGTTGTAGAAAAGTATTAGGTCAAATAAAAAACTTAGCAAAGTGATTCAAATAAACAAACAATTTTTTCAAATATCAACTTTCAATAATTGAAACTATAGGAGAATATGCTTTCTTATTTCCTAGTGAAATAAGTCATCCCTCTTTTAATTTTCTTATTTGGTGTTAGTTAGGGGTGTCAATGGTTCGGTTCGGCCGATTATTTTATAAAGTTTGTACCATACTAATTTTTCGGTTATTTTATTATGTATAGCCAAAATTAGATTTTTCGAAACAGTCCCAATCATGTCGGTTTCTCTTCGGTATCGGTACAGTTAGGTTAATTTTCGGTACTTTTTTTAAATATCAGGTAAAAATCACTAGTAGAAGTAGAATGGAATAACATACGTACTTTTATAGGATTTCGCAAAACTCTTTATACATTTTTAGTGTTTAAAAGGTGATGAATTAAGAAAACATGAAAGATGGCCAGAGTATTAGATCCATCAACTATTCTACAGCTGCATAAAAGAAACTAAGCAAAGACAAAGAAAATATAAATCACACAAATGAAAAGTTATTAACCAAGCTGGGATTCAAGAATAAAGTATATGGAAGATTAAATATTCAAAAAGATAAATTTAAATCATACGAAAGGGAACATATTCAATACATTGTAGTTTGCTACTCATATTCGCTAGAATACCTTGTGTCTTGCTAGCGAATATGCTAAAAATAATTTAGTTTCAATAGGAGTAGCATAATAGTTTTGGGAATTAAGATTTTGAGTTTAATTACTCGTTTGGCTTTTAACCATTTTTATAATTCCAATGCTCAAAAAAATATTTAATGCTTTATTATTTTTAAACTTAATATATAAATATATTTTCTATATGTAAATTTATTCGGTATGGTTCAGTATTTTTTCGGTTTAGTTTCACAAAATAAAAAATCTACCCTAATTATCGGTACAATTATAGATTTATATAAAAACCTATGGTTTGATTAGAAAAATTTAAAAATCGGTTCGATACGATACGATTCGGTCGGTTTAATCAGTTTTTAAATATCCATGACAATCTTAGTGTTAGTACCCTATCAATTAGAGCTTCAACTTATTTAGATTCGGGTTGATCTATTAAAAAGAGAAGTATTCCCGATTAAAAAAATTCATATATTGGACTTGAACCAAATAACTCTAATTAATCCATCTCACCACAATCTTTATGTTACTTTTTTACTTATCATGTTAGCAAATGATCATGTCTCAATCATGTTTACTTAGTCCACAATAAATATTTATCTGAAACCAAACTCTACCTTCCTAATAAGAAGTTTTGAGTTGAAGCTTGAAAATGGAGTTTATTTTTATTACGAAACACTTTATCCTTTGAAATGAACTTTTTTTGGTGCAAAATAACTAATGGATGCGAATGAAAAGAAACAACATCAACATCAGTTGATAAAAATAATAAATTTCTGAAATCAAGAAAAAAATACTCCAAGTTCCAAACAACAAGAGACAGGTGTAACATTCAACTGCCATTTCTCTTTATTGTTAAAAAAAAAAAAGAAGCTGTCCCATTCTCGTTTCTCTGTCTTCTCAGTTATTGCTCTCTTCTTAGTCAACCTTTTCTCAAGAAAAGCAAAAGCTTTCCCAAAGATAAATATTTTTCTTAGCATACTTCTATGTTTTGATCTCCCACAGAACAAAACATACACTGCTGTTTTTGAACTGTTCAAGTCCTTTCTTGGAGTGTGGTTTAAGTGTTTTAATTTTTTCTGTTTTCTAATTTTTGTGATTTAAATTAAGAAAAATGTTTGGGAGGGAGTGTTGCAGCTGGGATAGTGTATGTGATTACTACAATGTTGAACCACAGCGTTTTGATTTGCCTTCACCCCTTCCACAATGGCCTCAAGGTATGTTTTGAAGTTTCTGGTTTTTTGGTAAAAAATATTTTTTTTTTCTTCTCCAGTTGTCCTATTATCTTTAACAGAAGCTCTGTTTCAGTCAGTTCTCAGTTATTTTGACTCTCTCTCTCTCTCCACACCCTTAGCAGTTCTATGATTGACTTTGACTGGGGCTAAGAATGAGAAATTGATCTTCTTCTGTATATATAAAGTTCACATTTTTATGTGCAAGAATCTATGAAAAGTGAATATTTCAGCATTTATGTGGAAAGGAAAACTTTGAATTTTTATTTAGCGAAGAATTTACCTAAATAGCTGCTCACCCAACCGCTTATACTAGAAATAGCCGGTCAATGTATAATATTAGTCCATGTATATTATATGTATAATTAGTGTATAGTTTATTAATACCGGCTAGAAAAAGTAAACAGTGAATGGAATTTGGGTAAAGGTCCCATTTTTAATCTGGATAATAATTTTTTTTCTGGTGGTGGTGTTGAAAGTCCTTTTGTTTCTATTTGTGTTTTGATTTTTGGGTTGAGGATGAGGATCCTATTATTAAAATGATGTCCCATTTTAATATATGCTGACACAACAACAACAACATACCCGGTGTCGTCCCACAAATGGGTCTAGGGAGGGTAGAGTGTGCGCAGACGTTACCCCTGCTTTAAAAAGACAGAGAGGCTGTTTCCCTCGGCTTAGGAAGGAGAGAGGGGAGGGAAATATATGCTGACACAAGGGGCCTAAAAACTACGTTGCTCCGATACTTCAAAAATGCTGCCGAGTGTGTGTTGGATCGACATGCGCGTGACAATATTTTTGAAGGATCCGAGCAACATAGCTAAAAACAAACACTTGACAGTAAAAATTCTGCTATAGTTTCTCAGTTTGCTAATGGGAATATTGTCCTTGTAGGTAAAGGATTTGCTACAGGAAAAATATGCCTAGGTGAAATTGAAGCTGTTCAAATCACAAAGTTTAAGAAAATTTGGGGTTGTAGCCCATTGTTTGGAAAATCAAAATCAGTCTCATTCTATAAACCAGATGAAATTCCACAAGGATTTTCAATTCTTGGCCACTACTGTCAGCCAGATGGTGAGAACATAACAGGCTGTATTCTTGCAGTCAAAGATTTATCTGATGATCAGAAGCAAAAAATTTCATTTCGAGATTCGACTTCCAAGCTTCCTGCTCTTAAAAAGCCATTGAACTACACTTTAGTGTATAGCGCGAACTCCCTTTATAATGAAACTGGTTACATTTGGCTTCCTAATGCACCAGTTGGTTATAAACCAATGGGCTTTGTGGCTACTGCTGAACCTAATGAACCAAATCTTGAAGAAGTTAAATGTGTCCGCGCTGATCTTACAGAAAGTTGTGAGGCTTGTGAAGTTGTTTTTAGTTCAAATTCTCTTTTTCCAAAGAACCAATTTCAAGTTTGGAAAACAAGACCCTGCGCGAGGGGCATGTTGTGTAAAGGGGTTTCGGTTGGGACATTCTTTTGCAGTACAAGCTTCACTAAAGGAGATGAACTCAACATTGCATGTTTGAAAAATCTTGATTCATCTCTAAAGGCAATGCCCAATCTTGAGCAGGTTCATGCACTTATTAAGCACTATGGACCAACTGTTTACTTCCATCCAGATGAAATTTATTTGCCCTCATCAGTTCAATGGTTCTTCAAAAATGGAGCGCTTCTATTTAAAGATCGGAAGGACAATGGTATAGCGATCGACTCTAAAGGCTCAAACTTGCCAGCTGGAGGACAAAATGATGGTAAATATTGGCTTGATTTGCCGAATAAAGATGTTGAAAATAGGCACACTGTCAAATGTGGTAATATTGAGACCGCGGAGCTCTATGTGCATGTTAAACCGGCTGAAGGAGGAACGTTTACTGATATTGCAATGTGGATTTTTTGCCCCTTTAATGGACCGGCCACCCTTAAAATAAGTTTGTTGAATCTAGCCATGAATAGAGTAGGCGAGCACGTTGGTGATTGGGAGCATTACACTCTTCGTATTAGCAACTTTTCAGGGGAGCTCTGGTGTGTCTATTTCAGTGAGCATAGTGGTGGTGAATGGGTTGATGCTCGTGACTTGGAGTTCATCGATGGGAACAAGCCAATTGTATATGCATCAAGAAATGGACACGCGAGTTTCCCACATCCTGGCTGTTACCTTCAAGGCATTACAAAGATTGGTATCGGAGTGAGGAACGATTGTGCAAGAAGCAAATACTATATTGACTCGAGCAGTAAATATCAAATTACCGCCGCTGAGTATCTTGGAGAAGGAATTGTTGCAGAACCGCCTTGGCTAGAGTACATGAGGGAATGGGGTCCAACCATTGAATACAAATCAGGATATGAAGTTGACAAGATAATCAACCACCTTCCTTCTTTTTTTAGAATTTCAGTGGAGAGTCTTGTTGAGCTATTTCCAACTGAACTTTATGGTGAAGCAGGGCCAACAGGACCAAAGGAAAAGAATAACTGGTTTGGAGATGAAAGGTGGTAGGTAAAGGCGAATCCAGGATCTAAAATCAATAAGTTCAAAACAAGTATGGTCTTATCATATGAACACATTTTAATTTTTGTTGCATATGTATACATGCTTCGAGCAAAAAACAATAGGTTCATTTGAACTCTCGGATCCACCTCTAGTGGAAGGTCTTTCAGTGGTGGTTTTGGAATTCTTAGAATTGCTCAATGTTGTGCATGAGTTGAGCAGCTATTTGTATTATGTTCAATCCCCAGTATTTCTTGTATATGGAGAGGAGGAAGCTATTATAAGCAGTACAAAGTTAAGGTTCAAGTGAAGAACCATTCTTTGTCAGTTATATTTAAGTCCAAGCCAGTATGATTGACATTGGTTGATGATCAAGTCCAACTGCTTTGCAACTGTAACAGCAGTTATAAATGTATATGGTTCCTGCATTAGTTTGTAGGTTGTATTATGTGCAAAAACCAAGAGATTTAGAAGGCAAAGTGGGGGAAAAGCAGGAAGGCTTGAAACTGTGAGAGAATGTAAAATTAGACTGTTATTGCTCTTTGTGTGAAATTAAAACTCTTGAAACCCTTTATGTCCAATAGATATTTTCAAGCTTTTACAACTGGTTTGAATGGTTGTTGCCTATTGTATTCTACCGTATTGTTATTTTAAACATAATATTTATTTTGGTTAATACTTAAATTTTATTGTATCATATTGTTAAATTCGTCGTTACGTAACGATAAAAAGTACCACTTTATGTAACGACCGATTTGACATCGTCTTCCCCTTTCTTATTATTAAATAATCCTATTTTATTCTTTACTCTATTTTTATGTAATAATTCTACCCCGTACCTTATTTTTTCTTTGTAATATTGTAAGTTTATTCTTCATATTGCCGATGCATGAAACGACGACAAACAATACATGTTTCATTATTCTTGAAATTGTTGATTTGAGGCTGCTATCCAAAAGTAGCAAGCAATTTGTCTTCATAACCAGCAAGTGTATATCCATAGGACATAACTAATGCTTCCAACTGTCATTGGCCAAAGAACTAATCACAATAGCCATTCCAGATTTACTGTTATTAGTTACTATTTCGGTTTTCTATTAGTGGTTTTAACCAGTGTTTTAAAAGACATTTCTGGGACTCGCTCGGGGCTCGACCCTGGGCGGGGCACTTGCAAAACGCCCTGGGGCTCATGTATGGGGCTTAGTTCTGTGAGGCTTACGTCCCAAGCGCCCGACCGTGCGCCCTAAACACGCCTAACGCCCAACGTTCGGGGCTCGCCTAACAGTTTTAACGCAAATCACGTGTCGAATTTCCTAATTAATATCGCTGACCTTCAAAATTCTTTAACAAATTAATGATAAAAGTTCTATTCATCGATAGAAATATGAAGATTGAGCATAACTCTAATAATGAGACATAGTATTGCGAATTTATATCTTCACTTGTTATTAGTCGTGTCTTAGTTCATTTGTCCCTCCTTGTTATACACTTTTATTAATATGATATCTTAAACTAATTTGTATTTATTCATAAATGAGTAATATTTTAATTATCGCACTAATAAGATTTTATTAATTATTTACTTTTAGGAAGGTAAAATGTGGAGTTTCATCATTTTTTTTTTAAAGAAATTGTAAGTTTTTAATTATTTGAAAGTTAAAGACGTTATATGTGATTTGTATGCATTAGTTATACTTAAGAATTATGCTAGATATTTTTTTTCTATGAGTTCCTTTAATTTTTTTTTTAATTTTTAACTTTTAATTAATATTTTATATTGTTTTGTGTTATTATGTTATTTTATTAATTTATAAATTAAAATTTTTAAAGATCCATGAGACTTACGCCCCCCCCTCCAGGCTTACGCTTCGCCCCATATCAAGTAAAATGCCCCGCTTCAAGCCTCCGCCTTTTAAAACATTGCTTGTAAGTAGCATATAATAGATTGTTTGACTAGTTTTTTGTGAGGATGAAGCGTGCGTGCGCGCGCGCGCGCACACACACATATATACATTTCACATATTTATAGTTTTCTTCAATTTTTATGCAATTTTACCTGTTTATAAATATTTACTATCATTATATTATTTTACAAAATATTAAAAATTAAATACCTATGGGGCTTACGCCCCGTGCCTCGGGGCTTATGCCTCGTTAAGACATATGTAAAATGCCTCGACTTATGCCCCACGCCTTTTAAAACACGGTTTTAACTATGACGCCTCAATTCGATCTAATTACTGGTCCCAATAACATAATGAGAAAAGCCCACTTTGATTGTGCATTTCATAACTTTCTTCATGTGGGGCAAACCCTTACAATCTAGTCGTAGAGTATTATACATGTTAGATTGTCGAATGGTACAAAGTACATAAAGTTCTTGATCTATTATTTTAATTTTAATGTATAGTGTTAAGTAAAATGACTACAAATTTATGGGAATTAGCTCAATGATTAAAAACCTTTGTCCCCTCTTCTCATCATTACTTTACAATATATATCCCCAAAAAGAATGACATAATACTAGTATAAAGCAAACCTATATAGTCTGCTAATACTTTCTTATTGGCTTCATTATGATAAATAATTGTCTCGTGTTGAATAAATTTGTTTTTGTTTTCGACATACTCTTGATGGAGGATGATTTAATATCAACAAGTAAAGAAGATGCCGGAGGAGTGGAGGTGAAGTACGGTGGTTCCGTTATACAAGAACATAGGTGATATTCAGAGTAGTAACAATTATAGGGGTATCAAATTACTGAGTCATTCCATGAAAGTTTGGGAGAGGGTTGTAGAAGTGAGGGTGAGGAGGACGGTGTCTATTTTAGACAACCCGTTCGGGTTCATGCCGGGGCGTTCTACCACGGAAGCTATCCACCTTATTAGGAGATTGGTGGAACAGTACAAGGATATGAAGAAGGATTTGCACATGGTGTTTATTGATCTGGAGAAAACGTATGACAAGGTTCCTAGAGAGGTCCTATGGAGATGCTTGGAGGCAAAATGTGTGTCGGTTGCTTACATTAGAGTGATTAAGGATATGTATGATGGAGCTAAGACTCGAGTTAGGACAATGGGAGGCGACTCAGAGCATTTTCTGGTTGTTATGGAGTTACACCAAGGGTCTGCGCTCAGCCCATTCCTATTTGCCCTAGCGATGGATGCACTGACACATCATATTCAAGGGGAGGTGCTATGGTGTATGTTATTTGCTGATGACATAGTGCTGATTGATGAGACGCGAAGCGGCGTCAACGAGTGGCTGGGGGTTTGGAGACAGGCCCTTGAGTCTAAGGGTTTCAAGTTGAGCACGACTAAGACGGAGTACCTAGAGTGCAAGTTCAGCGTCGAGCCGATGGAAGCGAGATTGGACGTGAGACTTGAATCACAGGTCATCCCCAAGAGGGACAATTTCAAGTACCCTGGGTTAGTTATTCAGGGGGATGAGGAGATTGGCAAGGATGTCACACACCGTATAGGGGTGGGGTGGATGAAGTGGAGGTTAGAATCTGGAGTTCTATGTGACAAGAAAGTGTCACCGATTCTCAAAGGTAAATTTTATAGAGCGGTGGTCAGACCGGCCATGTTGTATGGGGCTGAGTGTTGGCCAGCTAAGAACTCACATATCCAGAAGATGAAAGTAGCTGAAATGAAGATGTTGAGGTGGATGTGCGGGCATACTAAGATGGATAAGATTAGGAATAAAGATATCCGGAAGAAGGTGGGCGTGGTTCCCATGGATGAGAAGTTGCGGGAAGCAAGGCGCAGATGGTTCGGGCACGTTCAGAGGAGAAGCCCGAGCCGGTGAGGAGGTGTGAGCGGCTGACTTTGGTGGGTACGAGGAGAGGTAAAGGGTAGCCTAAGAAGTATTGGAGAGAGGTGATCAGGTAGGACATGGTGTGGCTTCAGATTACCGAGGACATGGCTCTAGACAAGAAGTTGTGGAGGTCGAGCATTAAGGTTGTAGGGTAGGAGGTAGTTGTACATATTTCTACGGCGCACCAGAGTGAGGCTAGTCTGTTAGGATTTAGTCTTAGACTGTTAGTAGTTAATGTTGAGTCACACTACTTTTTCGTTCCTTTTAGTGCCGAGCTGTATCTACTGGTTATTGTTTTGCTGTTCATCTATTTTCTGGTTCTGGTGATGCTGTTATTTGTTTCATTTTTTCTTTTGATGGTACTGATATATTGCCTCTTTTCGTCTTCTTGAGCCGAGGGTCTTTCGGAAATAACCTCTCTACCCCTTTGGGGTAGGAGTAAGGTCTGCGTATACGCTATCTTTCCCAGACCCTATTAGTGAGATTTAACTGGGTTATTGTTGTTGTAAGTAAAGGGAAATAAGGAAATTATTTGATACCTACTACCGACATTAATTCAAATTGTGTTCGATGTGTTGGAAGAAGGATAGTTATATTAGTTCGGCATAGTTAAAAGATGTCTCGATACAAAATTCTCACAAAACTCAATGAATTATCGTTTATTCATCTCATCGTACTTTACGGAATCAATCGTCTTATCAACGTATACATAAATACATACCGAGGAAGAAGAGTGGTATCGTGCTTTTTGATAATAACGTTAATAATAGTAAGCCAAATAGTGTCATTCTTACCTAAAAAAGAAGTCCGTCCTCAATAAAAAGTAACATGAATCTCAATAAAAAATATATAGACAAAAGATTTGCGCAATCTTATTTTTTTTATTTACAACAATTAACATTCAAATATTTTATAACAGTAGTATACAAGTCAGCAGAAACAAATTTCGATTATGCTATTGAATACTTATATACTTAATAACTTTATTTACCAAAAAAATAATAATTACGTAATTGTTATTTCTACTGAATTTCGAATCTTGAGCTCTAATAGTCTACAATTAGTTTTATCACCACTAAACCATAGTCTACGATTAGTTTTATCACCACTAAACCATACTTTTGGATCATAACTTCCATTAGCATTAACAATAGAAATTAGAAGAGTGTCGTTCTTACCTAAAAAAGAAATTCGTCCTTAATAAAAAAAAGAAGTAATATTGATGTCTAAATATTAATCCGAATTGATATGATTCTCAATAATGGACAGATATATTAGAGATTTATGCAATCACATTTTTCTCCTTTGCAACGGTTCCAATTTAAATTATTTTGTAATTATAATATACAGGTCAGCTTACACATATTTTAATTATTTCACTGCATACTTACATACTAAGTAACTATATAATAAGACGAAGTTACATAATTTTTTATCTCTGCTAAAATTCGAACCTTAGTCTCCATTGGTCTTTATTTTGTTTTATTAACCATTAGAACATTAGATTATTTTCAAATAATTTAATGCTAAAATTATACAATTTATAATATTTATGTCCAAAAATTCTCATAAAAAAAATAAATTTGTTGTCATTGTTGACTCTTGTCCGCCTACCTTGTCACTTTATTTGGACAGAGTCATTATCATCATCCCCTTACTATTTATAGAACATCAATTCCAAAACCAGTAAAAATCAAATTCAAGAAAACACCATTCTTTTCTCCAAGTCCAACAAATTTCTCCCATCACCCACAAACCCCTTCTACTTCTTCTTCCCCCTCCCCCCCCCCC